CGATCTTTATCATTGAAATAGTTTATTTCTTTATGTGGTGGTTGGAATAAGGTGAAAGAAAAAATAGATTTATTACATTTATAAATAATTTTTATTGGATAAATATAATTAAACAACCTATGGCTAATATAAAGATACATGAAGTTAAATTTTGCTGATTATCCTAAAACTATACTTTATTACCTACCTACTTATATTTTATTCTTATAAAATATGCGAACACAGAATTATTTCGAGCGATTGGAGTGTAAAAAACTAGATCGTTATAATACAATAAAAAATTAAATGGATGACTTGTTGATAACAGAGCCATTCAAAATATTATATGTACAGAATGAATCATGAATAATTAATGCATACACTTTAGTGTCTTTAGGAAAAGTTTTTCTTGAAGAAAATTCAATTTTTATATCCACAGTTGAGTTTTTTATTGCTTCTACTTGATGTGAACAATCTATTACAAAAACTGGGTTTTGCATGTATTCTTCAATATCCATCATAGGGTCACTACATTCTCTTCCATAATAAGCTTTTTGAAATCGATCATAGCTATTATAGGCTGGAGTAAATAGGGTTTTTGAAAAATCCAAATTCCATCTTTCATATGGAAAAACTGAAGAATTTAGGTATACCCTGATATCACTAATATTTGCTGGCGTAAACAGCGTTGCATCTTTCTCCCGATTGTCTGAATAACTTGCATATTGGAAGCCTAAAACTATATACCTAGGTCTTTCCAAACTAGTTGAAGTTCGTATGGCCCACACATCTGATTGTGTTTGTCGTAAAGATGGTAACTCGTACAAATCCCACGATCTAAACGCCATAGGAACTACGGCCATATTTCCACCTTTGTTAATGCGAGATAGGATTTTTAACTTCAACCTATCCTCTGGAATTAAATGTCTTATCTTCCACTCAATTTTATCTATTGTAATATTTGCATCTACTTGTCCTATGTAGGAATTATTGAATGTGCGTGCAATAATAAGTATGAGCTCTTGCTTAACATTAAATATTACTTTCTGGTAGTCTTCTGCAAAACCCATTAAATATTTCAATGGTAATTTTCCACAGAAAACCATGCTTACAGGGTCCCAAATTTGACGCTTCGTATCGCTAAGACCCCATCCGCATGAATATAGTGATTTTGTATTTTGTGTTCCATATGATACCATCGTTTTTAAAGCTGTAGTGATACCTGGTTTTCGAACTACAGCAAGTTGTTCGCCACCCATTTCGAGACGGATTTCATCAAATAAAAATGCTAGTGCATTATTTGATAAATGACACTTTTTAGTCCCATCGGAAGGAGTGAACTTCCCCTCGATGTAAATGAAGCTCTCAGACACATCTAATATCAAATCTTGAAAATGTATAGGAATGCGGATTTCGTCTGAATTTTTAAATGATGGAGCCCCATATGGTTTATAGGTATATTCCTGTGAGCTTGTTATAGAATTGTCCAAAATTGGAGCGTCGAATATTTCGATTTTTTCACTGGTAGTTAACATTTCACTTTAAGTCTTAAACCCAAGGATTTAAGAAACGATAAGTCTTTTTGATTAAGCTTAGATCTTCTGCGTTTGGCGTTTGAATGAAGAATGACATTCTTGGCACTATGAACTACATTTTTATTGAACTTTATATCTTCATTCTGTTTTTGAGGATTATTCACAGTGCGAATGAAACAAAACCCCATTTTTATTTATTTAATTTATTAGATTAGCTTCCCTAACTCTAGTTTAACAATAATTTTTTCACCGCGAAAGTTTATAAGACTACCAGTATCATCCACGATGCGAAGTGTAATGTTGTCTATAAACTGACGTGATTCAGGAATAATCGGTAAATATATAATATTAGTTGGTTCCTTGCTCAGCTTATAACCTGGTTCAACATCTATGTCGAACTCAAATATTGTATGTGAAGCTTCGGAGTTTATAAATGCACCAGACGTTATGTTGGAGTCTACCCGAATTATTCTAACCTTCATAATGTTGACTGGTAAGCTGGACACGTGCTTCAAATTTTTTTCATAAGTTTTCTTCTCAAATCCTAATATTTGGGCAATCGAATTTGGATAATCCAGATTCAAGTTGAGTGTAGATATCAATTCGCATTTCAAAGTATTGTTATTGGCATTCAATGAGAAAATATTATTGTTTTTGATCTTTGATGCTGATTTCAGAGCATCTAACATAATATCATTGATGGTGGAAATCTCATAGGCTCCAGGAGGTATTCTTATTGTTTCGTAAGGTCCATTGACATTTTTGGAATATCCAAAACAGTTGTTACTCTCGTCGACATTGAAAATTGAATTATATGAATAAAATCCTAACAAGGCCAAACCATATTTAGCTCCAGAATCCAGATCGATTGGTGGGTAAAACTCACTACTAAGCTCACTAGAATGTCCTGATAGGGTGAATGTGTAAGACATGACTGATAGCAACCATACACAACTGATTGTTTTTATTGTAACTTACAAAACTTGTTTAAAAAGTTATCGTTGGATTCCTTTTCCCCAGCATTAATTTGTACATCTCTAATATTACAATAACAACAAAATAGCTTTCTTGGGGGTGGTCCATCTATAACATCCTCAGAACCTCTAGTCTCATCATGATCTGTACAGTATTGGTATTGTATAATATCTTTATCCTTCTTGAGGTGCTCTGGTAACTTGTTCCATATCAATGCTATTTCTTCTGGAGCACACGCAAGTAAAACTTCTTTAGGTATTTGCTCCAATTGTTTTCTACTAAAGTTCATAAAGCTGCCGAGCTTATAGAAATCCATAAGAAATTGAGAGACACATTTATCTGTTGACTTAAACATTTTAACCCTACTGCTGTTTTACGAGAAACTTTAAGCACAAATGTCCACACAAAACTGTACCAAATTTTTGTTGGCGCTCGTATGTATAATAGAGATACTTGACAGCATTACGCATCTTTTTCAGATAATTTATGAGTTCTCGTGGAGGGGGTAAATCACCAAAACTATCATAATAAATGGCGATAGAGCCTGTTTTTCGATATGCTACCCAATGAGTTCCCACACCACTAATACTATCCAAATTAACTATTGCTGCTTCATTTTTGTTTGGACCATTCATTGGCAAAGTATCTCGCATAAATATACCGCGAAAATATGGTATTTTTTCTCTTTTCGCATATATTTCTAGATCGATATTCGTCAACGCTCTTTGCGGTAGGGATTTGATATCTAGTTTTTTGATTGTTGAAGGAATAGTCCATATCCTGCTCGATATGGTTTTAGAAACAATCCTTTCCCAATCACCATTTCATCTGATTTCTTGTTACTATTTTTCAGATTCGATACTTCCTTGATTGTTCGAACAATAGCAGCCGCACCTCCTGCTAGAGAGCCTAAAGCCGATAAACCCGCAAAGATCGGGAGTAGGGGGAGAACTCCCCCAACTTTTGGTATCGGAATTATTCTTGGCATGCGGACCTTCCTTTTTCCACCAATTGTCTTCAATGATTTACGAGCCGCAAGCAGTGCTACTCTAGCTGATTTTACAAGATTTTTCTTATCTATAAATTTACTATGAACTTCTTTTTTCAAAATATTTCTAATAGGTTTGGATAGAGCAGATCCAAAAGCTACTTTGCGAACTTTAATACTGGATTTTCTTCTAGCTGTTTTCTTCTTCTTTCGCTTATTTATTTTCAAATTAGGTTGGTGACCCATACCCAGTTTTCGCTTCGTTTTCATAGTGTTTGTAACTAACCAAGCCGCAGCTTTTTCTCCGAGATCAGCGTCTTTGGAATTGACACGTTCCCAAGCGCTTTGTTCCAACTGATAGTCGGCTCGATGTCGTTGACTTATATCACTGTTTTCAGAATAAGCAATATCGTGTTTTTTACATGCAATATCTAAAATATTAATTCCTGAATCTCCTCTCCTCAATCTTTTCTTTAATTTAGTTCCTGGACCGCAATACTGATACCCTCCTGGTAAATGTAATTCTAATGGTAGTTTATTAATTATAGAATTCACTAGTCCACCACCAGTTTCAAGACGTTTACTGAGTCGACCACTTCGTTTGATTGATAACATTGAACTGAATAGGAATTTTATTCTAATATACATATATAAATATATCGCATATGTGTGTATTCGTTTGTGTATAAATATGAAAATTATCCAACTGCCTTATGAAATTCGAGTAGACAACTTGGATGAAAAAATTGGTTATGGTATCGAGAAAGGGAATAAACAAAGACGTCATGGAGATACTTTTCCCACATCAATTCGGGGACTACTTATTGGACCATCAAACTGTGGCAAGACTAATGTTATGATTTCCTTATTAACTCATCCACTTGGGTTAAGATTTGAGAACATTTATATATATTCTAAATCGTTATACCAACCAAAGTATGAATATCTTAGAAAAGTTATGGCGACTGTTAAAGGACTTGGATTTTACACTTTTAGTGATACCACCAATATTGTTGAACCGTCAGAGGCAAAACCCAATTCCATATTCATTTTTGATGATGTTATGTGTGAAAAGCAGGATGTTATAAGGTCATACTTCAGTATGGGGCGTCATAAGAATGTGGACTCCTTCTACTTAGCGCAGACTTATTCCAGAGTTCCAAAACAACTTGTACGAGACAACGCTAATTTTATCGCTTTATTTAAACAAGATGAGATGAATTTGCGACATATTTTTTCTGATCATGTAGCTCCTGATATGACTTTCCAAAAATTCCTAGAAATGTGTGCTCTTTGCTGGAGCGATAAATATGGGTTTCTCGTAATTGATAAAGACAGTGATTGCAGTTCGGGACGATATCGTAAAGGTTTCACATCCTATATATCACTAAATTGATGTAACTTTTTATTAGTTCACCATAAAACCATACTACGACAACACCATGAGTGAGGATCTGAATTTGAAAAATGAGTTGATTGAAGCGACCGAAGCCGTGAGAAAGAAATTTAGAGAAATTAAAGCCATGCAAGCAGATGACAAGTTGATGTTAGAGAAGATGTATGAGCCGGTAACAAAACCCCTCAATTCTATGTCTCAATCCTTAGAGAAACAAAAACTACAAAATGTTTTACAGTCTGATAGACCCACTTCGAAAAAAAAGACGGAATTAGATATCTCAAGTAACTTTTTTACACCTATCCATCGAAAGTGGAAGGGTATTCTTGATGGTAGCGATTCAGATGAAGAGAATTCTGTTGCTTCATACGAAGAAAATTCACCAGAGATATACATTGAGGGACTATATAATAAACCATCCGAATACGACACAGTCTATGGAGTTAGGACAGAGAAAAAACACAAAAACAAATATTTCATTGGAGATGCTGAAGCAAAATTTAATTCTGGTAATATTGATTTATGGCGAAATAATGAAAAAATCGGATCTTTCAAAGGAAGTAATGAATTGTATGATTTACTTTTTTTAAAAAAACCAAAAGTTCTAGATAATTTGACTAAGTTATCGGATAACACTTTGGAAACATATAGAGAAATATTGAAGCGTACTCATGCTATGAACCATAACTATAATAAAGATAAAAAAATAAGAACATCAAGGTGGCCCAAATTTAGTGAATTGTTAGATCCATTATTTAAACCAACTCAAGGTAGTGGGCTGCACACCAAGGGTGGTAAAATACCATCAAATAAATTATTATCCAAGCGACGTATAGAGTATGTCTATTGGAATAAACCGAAAGAACTAGTAAATCGGTTGCGACTTCTGTGTGCATCAAAAACAGTTGGTCACACAGGTCATGATAATGAAATAATTTCAATCATCGAAGAATTAAGAGAAGAAGGTATAGTTTATTAAAGGTGTGGTGAATATTATAATTATCAGTAGTTACTGAACATTCATTGAATAGATATGGAACCCACACCTATAAAATGGGCGGTTGTAAATGAATTGCATAGATCATCACGAAAAAACTTTCGGAGAAGGCGCACAATAATAAAGGGTTATTGGGATTTATGGCAAATAGATTTAATAGAAATGCAACAATATGCCAATGAAAATGATGGTTATCGATATATTTTGATATGCATAAACTGTTTTTCGAAATATGTATATTCTCAATCTATAAAAACTAAAACTGCATTCGAAGTTACTAAAGCTATGGAAAGTATTATCAGGAATGCAAAATACTCACCCAACAACCTACAAAGTGACAATGGTACCGAATTTTACAACCAACAATTCAGGAGTTTAATGGATAGATTTCATATAAATCACTATTCCACATATAGCACGAAAAAAGCAGCAATCGTGGAGCGAGTTATCAGAACAATAAAAAATCGCTTGTATAAGGAATTTTCTGCAAGAGGTACATATAGGTGGTTGAAACTTCTACCAAAAGTTACTAAGAGCTATAATCACACTATTCATCGCACCATAGGAATGAAACCAGTAGATGTAACAGAGCACACAAATTTAAGCATCTATGATAACCCAAAAATTGCTCCCAAATTTTTTAAATTTGATGTTGGTGATATTGTACGCATTAGTAAATATAAGAGTTTGTTCGAAAAAGGATATACTCCATCATGGTCTACAGAATTATTTAAAATTATCCAGGTCAAGATCACAAATCCACCAACATATGCTTTAGAATCTTTGGATGGACAAATCATTAAGGGATGTTTTTATGAAGCCGAATTACAGAAAACCAGGAATCCTCATGTATACTTAATTGAGAAAATAATTCGTCGTCGAAAGAAAAATTCAATGGATCAGTTGTTTGTTAAATGGTTGGGTTTTCCGGAATCCGATAACTCATGGATTAATTTAGCTGATATTGTTTAAATTTACCTGAAATAAAACTATCTAATTTAAGTGAGCAGTTTGTTTTATTTATTTATTTATTTATTAACTAAAGCATCATAATATAACGACTACAACTATTTTGAACTTCTCATCACCAATACAATGTCTTCAAGAAAATTTAAATTCCAAATGACTAATCCTTTTTTCCATCACTTCAAGCCCTTGCATACACTTTTGTCTATCCAGAATTGCTAGCTTTAGTTGTTGAGTTTCCGTAGGAATGGCTTTATCTATTTCTTGATCGATAATCTTCACCATTAAATTATGTATTTCACCATTTAGCATATTCGCAATTGTTTGTCGTAGCTGTATTACTGTATTGTCAACGTATTTTTTGGTGGTTGCGTCACAATCATTTTTTGGCTCTAATACGTTAGTTAAGGACTTGCCCTCCATATCAAATTGGTCATTGACATCGAGCTTAAAACCTATTCCAGGTAACCCACGAACTGCTGGATCGTTCACTTTATTTCCTCGACGACCAAACTTATCAATTGTGTTGTTTATCGCACTCATATTTTCGAATAACTGTTCTACTAGATTTTAAGTCCGCATGTTTATATACGTAGTAACGATCTTTTGATTTTTTTTTCTAGCTCAATCAACTTTCCATTCAGTGTTATAAAGGTTTGTTTACATTTTTCCTTATCACGATCTGCTTGTTCAAGATCATAAGTTCTTTTACCAACTATGCTAAATACTTCTTCATGAATAATCTTCTTCATCACATCGATCATATCTACGTTTATTAAATTAGTTAATGATTGTTGCAACATATGGAATGCTGTATCTACATACAATTTTGTAGTAATATCACCATTGCTTTTTGGAACTGATAAATTAGTTAATGATTTTTCCCCTACGTCATATTGATTAGTGGAACTTAGCTTGAAACCAACACCACGTAAACCCCGAACGGGTTCACTACCCGATTTATGCCATCGACTACCAAACTTATCGATTGTGTTGTTCATCACTTACGTTTTTGTGAACAAATACCATATTATAATCTATGCATCCATCTTTATACATAGGATAAATTTTGTTGTGCACAGAAAAAAAAAACTATAAATATAAATACAATCAAGAACATTTATTAGATTTTTTACAGGAATTGTTCACTTAAGGTAACATCTTATTATTAACATTGTTGGGATAATTCTTCACCAGCTGCGTCAATTCCAATGTCTTCATACAACCTATGCTTCTCAGCAAGAGCATATGGGATATGTGGAACTTGCACCACAAAATCCTTCAAGCCCTCGTCCAGCATTTCCTCGACAAATGATTCTAGGTTGATGTAGCCAAAGACATATTTCTCACATATAAGTGCCCCATTACAAAAATTGGTTGAATCGTCGAGAAATTTTTTGTAATTCAAAGCATCACCTTCGAATTGTTCGGCCAGCACTATAATGTCCTCAGACATTGTTTTCAGCTGCACTGCCAGATATCTGATGTAAGAAATCTGATTTTCGTTTGTACTATTGTGATACATCTATAAATAAAAAAAATTATGTGTGTTTTTTTTGTGTGTAAATAATATTTCAAAAAATTTGAAAAAATCTCTAATTATGCTTTTTGTTTTTTATTAAACTCTGAATTTGAATTTACAGTTATTCCAAAACACCAAAGTTTAAAATTGCTCTTGTATTTCCCCCAGAAAATACTCGCAAGCTTTGACCCAAATAAGTTAAACTATATTTATCACATAACTTATTCATGCTCGCTATAGTATCCTCTGCAAGAGTTTCTGTGACACGTTTCGGTAGAAATGATTGAAAGGTTTCATCATGTGTTTTGTCATATAATGTAGCTAAAATAGTTTTACCGAAACGTGAAGATAGTAATACCATTTTTTTAATAATGTAAACTTTTCCAATTGTTAAAGATGTTATGGACCTTCGCTCAACAAATTCAATATCTTGGTTAAGTTTATTATTGATTTCATCTATGGTTTGTTTTGAAATACTCATTATTGAGAATAATAATATGCAATAGAGATACTTGAAAAAAATTACCTTGAACGAATTGAATTATGAAAACACAACACTACACACAGAATTTTCTTTATAATCTTAGGATGCGACGACTGGTTTCTATAAACACAATATTTTCTTTATAATCTTAGGATGGGATGACTGGTTGCTATAATTGATATGTGACTTACTACATGGTATGAAGCTTCTTTTATAAGAAAATCTTCACAAAACTCCCCTCCTTTCCCAACTAGTGTATTGAATCACATGTCTCTCAAGGTTTTTTAACTTACAGCTTATAAGAGCAAGGTCAAATGAAATACAAGGGCGAGTAAAAGATGACCTTCAATGGGGAGGGGTGGGATAATTTTTTAGTCAAAGAGTGACAACTAATTTTCAAGGCCAAGGTCAAATGATGTCACGGGGAGGGGTGGCGGGGGGGGGGGGGGGGGGGAGGGGGGGGGGGGGAGGTTGTTTTTTTTTTTTTTTTTTTTTTTTTTTGTTTTTTTTTTTTTTTTTTTTTAAATAGCTAACTTTCAAGGCCAAGGTCGAATGACGTCACTGGCGTCACTTTCAAGGTCAGAGTAAATGTCTACTGCGCATGCGGAGACCGCTTAGGGTATACTTATGCTACTGCCTCTGTACGATTTTTAGTTCATATTAAAGGAATAACTTCATCATTGACCTGGAAAGGTCACGTCAACAGGGTCGTCCAAAGGGCTAACCTTGTTATCAAGGGACACCCTCTATATTATCAAATAGGGCAGGTTTTATTTCCTTCAACCTTAAATCTCAAACAACAAAAGACAAAAATCAAAATAAGTAGGACATCTTCATTCTAAACAGGTACAATCATTTTTACCTGATGAACTAATTGGCCGGACATTCGGATTCTAACCAGGCGTCAACGAAGAGCCCGACGTGTCCCGAAATTCCCTGGGGAAATTCTCCAGGAGTCAATTACAACGGCGTGCTGACATTGAAAGGACGATCCCTACTATCCACACACGAAAAAAAAAAACTGTCGTTGTAAATAAATAAGCATTAAATTTATCAGTATTTAATTGAGCAAATATTAAAATTAAACAAAATTATTAACGCTTCATAATAACTTTTTGCTGTAATATTGAAATTCAAATATTTAGCAAAAGGATTTAATGAACAACGAATTATATAATGCCTATTATTTTATAGAAACATGAATATTTAATTTGGATGTCGTATACAATTAAGTTATGAATCAGAAATCGTAAAAATTTCACCGATATTCCAGTCACGTGCTCAATAGAAACCTTCGTCCATAAACGAAAATGATTTATCTCGATTTATGGGCGACTTTTTTTTTTCCCAGGGTCTTTTTGGTCCATAATTCAGAACGATGGCGACCCGGAGGCACTTAATCATTCCACTATCTGGGTGCTTTACGCCGCTTCAGGACTAATTTTGTATTTCGATTAATGTTGTAATAATTAACTTATTGGCTCGATAATAATTTATAAACAGATTCCTTGAAAAAGTTGTTTGTATATAAATAAATGAAGCTCAAAAGCAGAATTAAATATCAATTTATCAACAATCTGGAAAAAGACCGTCTTATATCATCGCACATAAGGATTCTCTAAAAAGGTTTCCATTTTTTCCAGAATGCGGACGTATATATATATAGTTTAAATCGGATTTAGACTTTCCCAAGTTATTTGCTTTTTATCTGTTGGCATCTTCCCTTCAAAAGAAAATAAGCCATCCGCGAACTGGGTCAATTTTTATGTTTATGTCGTGAGTTTTCGGGACTTATTAAATG